GCTGGAGTATAGTGGCACAGTCACAGCTCACTGCAGCCTCAAATTCCCTGGCTCAGGTGATCCTCCCACCTCAGCCTCCTGGGTAGCTAGGACAATAGGCACGCACCAACAAAATACTTAACATACAAAAAATGTAAAATATAAGAAATGGGCTGGGCATGGTGGCTTTCACCTGTAATCCCAGCACTTTCCGAGGCTGAGGTAGATGAACTGCTTGCACCCAGGAATTTAAGACCAGCCTGGGCAACATAGTGAGATCTTGTCTCTACAAAAAAACTAAAAAATTACCTGGACATTGTGGCACACACCTGTGGTCCCAGCAACTTGAGAGGCTGAGGTGAGAGGATCACTTGAGCTGGGGAGGTTGAGGCTGCAGTGAGCTGTGATCATGCCACTGGACTCCAGCCTGGGTGGCCAAGCGAGACTCTGTCTCAAACAGACAAACAAACAAACAAAAAACAAAAACCAAAAAACAAAATGATGGGTTAAGTTGAACAAGGATTTAAAATCAAACAAAATACCCTAATAACAAACCTATTTGCAGAGGGTGGAGTTGGTGGGTTGCAGTGAGGCAAGTTGTCTTTTAGTTGAATTTAAGTAATAATATCAATAACATTTATATATTTGCATGTGGTGAAGACTTCAAACCAAATAGAAAATGTATAAGTAAATTTCTCCCTTCCTTTACCCTCCAATTCCTACTCTCTCCATCTAACAGCATAAGCATTATTTTTTCTTATTTATCCTTCCAGAAAAATATTTGTACCTATAAGAAATGCGTATCATCTTCTTGGGAGAAAATGGAATCCTGCCACACATACTGTTCACCTTTCTTTTTTCACTCAACGCTATTTCATAAAGATATCGTCACCTATAGATGCACATCATTCTTTTTAATGGTTACATGTTATTTGCATTGATTACCATAGTTTATTTTCATTTTGATGGGCATATTTGGTTGCTTCTAGGTTTTTACATTTACAAACAAAGCTGCAGTGACTCTCATTATCTATACCTTTGTGTACCTTCGCAGATGGAAATATGATCAGGACAAAAGGGACAAAATGAAATGAAGTATGGGGTGGGTTTAGGGTTACAGAAAAGTAGTAGAAAAGAGATGCTATTTCTGATGAGTAGCAGCAAGCTAAAGTTATTTCCTCCTAGTCTCTTTTTGAAATGAGGTAGAATATTAGGAAATGAAAATAAGAAGGCTGGGTGTCGTGGTTCATGCCTGTAATCCCAGCACATTGGGAGGCTGAGGTGAGTGGATCACCTGAGGTCAGGAGTTCGAGACCAACCTGTCCAACATGTCAAGACCCCATCTCTGCTAAAAATACAAAAATTAGCTGGGTGTGGCTCATATCTGTAATCTCAGATTCTCAGGAGGCTGAAGCAGGAGAATCGCTTGAACCCGGGAGACAGAGGCTGCAATGGGCCGAGATCGTGCCACCACACTCCTGTCTAGGTGACAGAGTGAGGCCGTTTCAAAAAAAAAAAAAAAAAAAGTCAAAGTGGATCACATAATTCCATGAAGTTAGAACTAAAGAAATGGAGAAAGTGCATGCAGAATCGTTTTCCCATTTGTTTCAGGATTACAGCCAGCAAAATCTCAACTAACATTTGGTCATATGATTTTATATCCTGTTTTACAAAAACAAAACTGTCAAGTGGGCTTCTAGGTGGGATTCTATTTTGGAGTCTGTGCCTCATACCAACATTCAGTGGTTTAAATAAGTACTTCGTGTAGTAAAAAGTAAGTAGTTTTGTGGTAGAAAATGTAAATATACATATCTAAATTAACATATTTTGTTATCACAGATAATCTCGGGTTACATCTTTTTCCTTCTCTGTGAATGTAGTTTCCTCTCTTTTCTTCTCCCTTCAAGTCCCCATATACACAATTAAAAAAAAATGGGCTAGGTGTGGTGGCTCACACCTGTAATCCCAGCACTTTGGGAGGCCGAGGCGGGCAGATCACAAGGTCAGAATTTGACACTAGCCTGACCAACATGATGAAACCCTGTATGTACTAAATATACAAAAATTAGCCAGGTGTGGTGGCATGCACCTGTAATCTCAGCTACACAGGAGGCTGAGGCAGGAGAATCGCTTGAACATGGGAGGTAGAAGTTGCAGTGAGTCGAGATCATGCCACCACACTCCAGGCTGGACGACAGAGTGAGACTCTGACTCAAAAAAACCCCAAAAAACAAAAAACACCAGAAATGTGTTTTAAATATGTTTAATATTTATGCTGAGGGGAAAGAGAAACCTGAAATATCATGGAGGTACCATGTCTGCATCAAATGGATATTGGGTTGGGTAGTCAGTGAGATATGACTGCGGAAGTTGACACTGCAAGAGATGAAAAATAAAACGGAATGGAAGCTTTTGTTTGTGAGTTCAAAAAGTTCAGGCACACTAGAGCGTTAGGAAAAGTAGTAACAAGCTGGGGTAGAGGAAGGTAGGGATGTCATAAAAATCTGGGAAGGGGTGAGAAAAAGGGTGAAAGGATTTCATATGACAAACCCACAACTTCAAGTGGCTATGTAATCAAGGCAGGTCATATAGACGAGAGGAGACAGTGTCTACCAATGAAGGACCATTTACTCTTTTTAGTCCCTATTGTAATGCTGTGGTAGGCTCTGAGCTCAACAGTGAATAAAGCAGAGGAGGCTTCTCTCTTCGTGAAGCTTACATTCTAATGGACCCAGAGTGAAAGGATTTGATTCCTCAGGAATCTTCAACAGGATGAGGCCACAGTTAGAAGTCTGTGACTATGGAAAGAGTAGTTTCACATGGATGGACCTATTGAAGGATGGATCAATTGAGAACATAATTAATGACTGGGGCTGTGATAAAGTGCTGAGAGTGGAGGAGGATGTTACGTTAGTAACTAAGGAGACTGAACAGAGAAGCTGGTCAAAAGGAAATGAACTTGCCTGTATAGTATTTTATTTCTTGTTGACTTTATATCCTGTAATAAGGCAATCATGGGTTAAAGGAGATTATAAAAGGAAAAATGAAAGTAAGGGCTCAGTGTGGTGGCTCACACCTGTCTTCTCAGGGCTTTGGGAGGCCGAGGTGGGAAGATCACTGAAGACCAGGAGTTCAGGAGCAGCCTGGGCAAGATGGAGAGACCCTGCCTCTAAAAATAAAATAAAAATTAAAAATTAAAAAAGTGAAAGTAGGGAATGGTGTGATACTATGAGTATGGTCTTCTGAAGTGATGATTCTCCTTATAGTCACACTGACTTTAAAATGAAAATACCCTTCCCTATCTTTTCTTTTTTTTCTTTTTGAGGCAGAGTCTCGCTTTGTCACCAGGCGCCAGGCTGCAGTGCAGTGTTGCAATCTTGGCTCACTGCAACCTCCGCCTCCCGGGTTCAAGCAATTCTCCTGCCTCAGCCTCCCGAGTAGCTGGGACTACAGGTGCACTGTGCCACCATGCCCAGCTAATTTTTGTATTTTAGTAGAGACAGGGTTTCACTATGTTGGCCAGATTGATCTCGATCTCTTGACCTAATGATCCGCCCGCCTCGGCCTCCCAAGGTGCTGGGATTACAGGAGTGAGCCACCGCACCCAGCTCTCTTCCTTTTCTTATTCCTATTATTCCTCCTTCTTCTCCTCCTCCTTGTCCCCTTTCTTCTTCCTATTGTAGCTTTTCCAGAGAGGCTTCTGTTTGGGCAACAGCTTAATCCCATTTTGTCACCCCCGCAGAAGTCTCCTCAGATACAATTTATTTAAATGGTTTCTCCAAAGGGATTGTAAAAGTGAAGGGCCTCTAGATAGATTATGAGGGCTAATTTCTAGTAGTATTATTGTAGCAATGGATATACTGTATTTTAGTTTCTGTCGTGACTTAATTTACTTACGACATTTAACAGACGTTTTAGACATCAGTCTTATTGGTATCTCACTAAAAGAGTGCTGGACTTTTCATAGATTCTGGTGAAACTTTTTGGATGTGTATGGCTTTGGCTGGGGAGATGGAATGGCAGAAGGCGTTGCTTTGCTTTGGGGATAGTTTTTAAGTTTGAGTTTTAGACACAGTAAGTAAAAGCGGATAGATACGTGGTCCTTGGGGTCTTTGCCCTGAAGCTCGTAGAGTAATAAAGTTAAAGACTGTGGCCTTGATCCATTGGTTAAGAAGCCAGTAAGCCATTAGTTCAACCTGTGTCTCCCAAACTTTCGTTGCCAGTTCCATGCTCCCAAACTACGTTTGTGTTACACATCTTATTCACTTCTTCTTCTCTTTGGAAATGTACTCTTAAAATTTTCTAAAAATAACCTTAAGAATGGTGTTGTTCTATTACTTTATTTGTGATACACTTTCGTAACATAACTTTAAGTTCATTTAATATATTGATGCATTCAGTCATTGATCTAAATTTAGACACAATGATAACTTGAATGTCTTTCTTTTATATGCACATGTATATTTTTTAGTGCTCAATTAGGAAGTTTGAGATTTAACTTCTCTTTTTTTCTTTGTCAAATTTTCTAGTATTATGAATTCCTTTGTTGTTATTCTTTTCTTACCTGGAACACTGGCTATCTTCATATTAAGGAGTCTCCACAAAGATATTATCAGATATAATCAGATGAGTTCTCCTGTAAGTAAAAATGCATATGTTTGATTCAGCAAATACTTAAGTGCCTCTTCTTCCCAGTTTTCATCCGTGTTATATCTCTATTTAGAGTATAGCACCTTGAATACAACACATTTTTTATGCCTAGTAATTTTCTGTTGTACCAAATCAGAAAGTACAGAGTTGAGTAAATTTTTTTTGAGACGGAGTTTCGCTCTTGTTACCCAGGCTGGAGTGCAATGGCGCGATCTCGGCTCACCGCAGCCTCCGCCTCCCGGGTTCAGGCAATTCTCCTGCCTCAGCCTCCTGAATAGCTGGGATTACAGGCACGCGCCACCATGCCCGGCTGATTTTTTGTATTTTTAGTAGAGACGGGGTTTCACCATGTTGGCCGGGATGGTCTGGATTGCCTGACCTTGTGATCCGCCCACCTTGGCCTCCCAAAGTGGTGTGATTACAGGTGTGAGCCACTGTGTCTGACCAGTTGTGTGTTTTATGTAATTAACACACTCTCTCTGATGCAAAACTTCGAGTAAGGGAGTGATTTATTTGTGTGGCAGGATCGTGTACCTTCCAGAGACCTGCTGAACTCATAATGAGCCATTGGTTTCCCGTTAGTCCACTTTTAAAGGAAAATTCCTTTTCAACTAACTTTCAGAGCTCTTGTAACTTGCTGTCATAGTAACTTGTATGTTTATTAGAGACTTTCTTATGTGTAGGAGGATGCCCAGCAGGAGTTTGGCTGGAAGATGATTCATACAGTTGTTTTCAGGCCCTCAAAGAGTGCAATGTTGTTGTCAGCCTTCCTGGGTCAGGGAATACAAGTTTTGTTTATGACCTTTATTACTTTAAATGAGTACACTCAGATATGTCTTAAAGATGAGTAGTAAGCTGCTAGCATATGTTGAACTTTGATCCCTTTGTACAAAATGACTTGGAAAATTATACCCTAAAGTTTGTGGAAATCTGTGTTTTGTAACGTTTACATTACTGTCTTCTCAAATTAAGGATATGAGTCTAAGTATCTGCCTATATCAAGCACCTTCCAAAGCTTCTTTAGTTCTGAATAGTTTACTGTAAACTCCAATACACGTATTCCTTGCTTTGCAAAATAAATGCATTCTTAAAATCAGTATGTGAGTAGAATCATATTTTAGGTGGGCTAAGGGAGTTCATGATTCAAAGGCTAGCATTTTGAAATGTTACAGCAAGCCTAAGTGCTGGTCTTTAAGTGTATAAATGGAATAGCATCTGTAGTGGGTTCACAATGGCTGATGAATCCTAGAGCCTTCATTTATAAACTAAAAATGGAGCTTGTCAGTTTTTGATAGCCAGAGTAGTGATTTTCGTAAACAAAGCCGCTGTAAAAAATGGCTCATTAAGTGTTTCAGATGTCAATGATAATTTCCAAAATCAGCTTTTAGGGTTATATTTTCCTGAGACCAAGTCTCACTTAGATTTTTTTATCCCTCACCTTGAATGAAAGGAAACAGAAGGAAATTTCTTTGCGAAAAAAAAGACTTGCTGTTTTTTAGTAGTGACTATTGAAGTGGGAAAGGGGAAAATATTTTGTTTTATTTTGAATTAGGCAGTGAAATTAAGGCTAATTCAACTTATGAAAACTTCCTTCCACTTACCTTGAATGGAGAATTAGACCTTTTCATTAACAAAAATTGTCAAGTGCTTAGCCAAGCAAATAACATTTGCTTGTAGCATCCCTTGCTTGTAGTACTTCCATTAGTTAATTTCCTTGTGTGCTGTTTCATATAATGTCTTAATAAGGTTATGCTTAATTTCTTATAAAGTCCTATGCACTGTTGAGACTATTATTGTTGATGGTTTTCTATTTCATTTTTTTGCCCTTAGGTCTGGCCTGCCTTGGTTTTCTTTCTCCTGGCCATGGAGGGGCTTTATGACCTGTGCCATTGTGTTATGGGTCCTTCTGGGAACCCCTGCCAGATACATGTCTGCTATAATGTATAAGAGTAAGCATTACAACTGTTATTATTCAAGGAAGTTGCTGTGTTAAATGTAGAAAATAAAAGACTGTAAAATAAAACATAAAAAAATTGCATGGGGTAATTTTAGCCTACCTATGAAAATGTAATTGTGACTTGGTTACTCTAAAGTATTTGTAAAGTGGACTAAGTCAAGTTGCCAAAGTAACTGTTCTGTTTTTTTTTTTTTTTTTTTTTACTTCCTGAGCATTTAGATGTGTTAAGTGGAAGACAAATGCTTTGCTGAAAGCACTATTATGTCCGTGGTTAGTATTGCATGCTCTCTTTTTCCTGTGTAATTATATGCTTCCCTATGCTTCATCTTGGGAAAAAAAAATCATAATGTACCTTAACAAAGAGTAGGCAGGACCCGAATGACCACTGTGCTTTCTGTAGTCGTAGCATCCCCTTTCTGTTGTATCTGCATTCTTTTAATTTTTTTGTACATCTTAAGCTTTAGCACGAAGAGATGATGATGGTGCTGCAGTATTCACATTTTTTTTTGACAGGGTTTCACTCTGTCACACAGGCTGGAGTGCAGTGACACAATCTGCAGCCTCTACCTTGCAGTATCAAATGATCCTCCCACCTTAGCCTCCTGAGTAGCTGGACGTGCACAACACCATACCCGGCTAATTTTTGTATTTTTAGTAGAGATGGGGTTTTGCCATGTTGACCAGGCTGGTCTCGAACTCTTGACCTCAGGTGATCCACCTGCCTTGGCCTCCCAAAGTGCTGGGATTATAAGCATGAGCCACCAAGCCCGGCTAGTATTCAATTTTGATATTTGTTTTTGAAGCAGATTTCATAAATGTTTATCTCAGTTATACATTTTGCATTCTATGTCATGCTAGAGTTGCAATTTATGCATGACACTTTGTTATTCTCCTCATTGCTGCCTTCAGTGATTATTTCTTCCTGTCTCACCTAGTTACTGCAGCGTCGTTAGTGACTGCAGTTTCAAGGTACGGTCATAGTCAAAGTGAGGGTGGGAGTGATGCTGTGCAGTGGCTGTGAGAGTAGCTTATCCAGTCCCCTAATTAAATAGATGCAGAATCTGTAGCCAAACTAAGGAACAACTTGTTCAGGGTCTCACATGAAGTCAGTAATAGGGCCAGGCTGTATGTAACTCAGTGTCCCCCCTCCTACACCGTATCCATCTCTCTTCCTGCGATACTTCACCGATAAAGTGCTGAATTGCTTAGGGTTTCATCTCCAAATTCCTTAATATGATTTTTTCTTAGTCAGCTTGGACTGCCATAACAAAACACCATAGCTGGAGTGGTTTAAAAACAGAGTGCTAGCATAGTTGTCATCTGGTCAGAGCCCTCTTCCTGGCTTGCAGTTGGCTGCCTTTATCCCTGTGTCCTCACATGGCAAGAACGGAGGACTGGGGGGAGATAGATAGAGACAGAGAGAGAGAGAGGGCGAGCCATCTTTAATTATAAGGACACTATCGCATCATAGGAACCTACTTAGGTCTCAAATGCCCATCTCTAAATATCATTACTTTGGAGGTTAAGGCTTCAACATATGAATTTGAGGGGTGGGGTGTGCACAATTCAGTCCGTAGCATGTTTCATTCATTCATAACAAGAAAAAATTATCTCCTTCATATGTTCTGAAGGACAGTCTTTTTGTTTTGTTTTATTTTGTTTTTAAGGAAGTAGTAATAAATTATATCTTTTCTTTTTTTGAAACAGAGTTTCACTTTTGTTGCTCAGGCTGGAGTGCAATAGTGCACTCTTGGCTCACTGCAACCTCTGCCTCCGAGGTTCAAGCGATTCTCCTGTCTCAGCTTCTTGAGTAGCTGGGATTACAGGTATGTGCCACCACACCTGGCTGATTTTTTTTTTTTTTTTTAATTTTTGGTAGAGACGAGGTTTCTCCATGTTGGTCAGGCTGGTCTCGAACTCCCGACCTCAGGTGATCCGTCTGCCTCGGCCTCCCAAGTGTTGAGATTACAGGCATGAGCCACTGCACCTGGCCAATGAATTATATCTTAATTGTTATGTGGTACTTAACTTACTATTTGTAACAAAATTTCCATGTCCTTGATGCTGGAAGTGTATCATAATAGGAAAAGAGGTCCTACACTGTAAGTTTTACAGAGTAAATTCAGTTACCTGGACATGATATACTGATTAGTGACAAAATGAGAGTAGGTGAATTCATAATGCTCTGTAACTGAGTATAACGCCATCAATGATGCAATTCAGTGATACATTCAGTAGACTGATAGTATTTTATCTACATATGGTTTCTTTCCCCGAAACTCCAGGGAAAGAAATAAGATCATTCAAAGATGAGTTAGCATATGTACAGAAAGAAAAGAAAGATCATTGATAAAACTGAGCATTACAAACTTGCATATTAAATACATATACCTCAGATTTTTATTTTTATTTATTTATTTATTTATTTATTTTTTAGAGACAGGTTCTCACTGTCACCCAGGCTGGAGGGCAGTAGCCCAATCATGCTCATTGTAGCCTCGACTATCTGGGCTCAAGAGATCCTCCCACCTCAACCTTTCAAGCAGCTGGGGCTACAGGTGTGCACCACCATGCCTGGCTCATTTTTTAAGGTTTTGTAGAGACAGGATCTTGCAGTGTTGTCCAGGCTGGTCTCGAACCAAGCCTCAAGGCCTCAAGTGCTCCTAGTGCCTTGGCCTTCCAAAGTACTGGGATTACAGGCGTGAGGTCATCATGCCCAGCCAGAATTTTTGGCTTACTTAAAATGAGCCTAATGTACCCCCCACCCCCAATCTTGTAGAGCCATCTGCTTTTTCTGTAACTTTTCAAGGGAATTAGAATGGGTGGTCTTTCCTGAGGTAAATTTTTAAATATATTTATGTAAGTAAATGATGTCCTTGACAATTTTTCAAACAGTTTTTGCTTCAAATTTAAGACTCAGATGAATCCATAACTGAATATGTTTGACAACAAAAGTCATTATACTGGATTGTAATACAAGGGACATCACATGCAAGAATCGATCAGTAAACCATCTACTACCCTCTGCATTATTTACTCAACATACTTATTGTGGTTTTTGGGGTTTTGTTTTGGTTTCAGTTTTACTATATTTAAAAAGCATAATGCAAGGCACTTTGGAGGAAAGAAATATAAATTGCCCCTGAAGCTTTGCTTTCAAATAATTTATAATCTAGCGAGTTTTTGGGGAAGGAGCAGGAGATAAGACATTTAAATTGGAATAATCCTATCTTACAGTAATTATGAAGAGTTTATCAGACAGTATGTTTAAAGCAATGTTGAGTTTCAGAGGAGGAAAAGGTAATTTCCACTTCGGGGCTCCTGGGAAGGCTTTGTGGAGGTAATGATGCTTAATTTATGATTTGAAAGATACTTAGAACTTGGCCACTTTTGTGCTCGATTCTATTCCCTTCCATTTCTTTCACAGCCTTGTTCAATTCATTACTGCTCCTTTCTTGCATATCTACCTTATCTCTCCACTGAGGCTCTTTTTTTCTGCTTATAAATATTTTCAGAGCTTCCCTTTCTGCCCCTTGGGCCCACCACTTAGGCTTTTTATTATTTTTTTGTAAATTAAAAAGTGATTATATATTTTATTTCTGAGATAATGTTGCAGTTTTCACATAATGCAAAGAACCACGCACAGACATGCTATTTAAATATATATATTTATTTCAAAAGTTCATGCGTTTTGGTATACAATGCTTTGAGTTTTGACAAATGCATAGAGTCATGTAAGCACCACCAGAATCCAGATGCAGAAAGATTCCATCAGTCTAAAACTTATGCTATCCCTTTGTAGTCAACCCCTTCCTAGCAGCTATGGATCTGTTCTCCACCCCTGGAGTTTTGCCTTTTTTAGTATGTCGTATAAATAAGCCATAGAGTGAATCATATAGAGCCCTTTGGATCTGGCTTATTTCACTTCTTACTTTTTATTACTGAGTAGTATTCCATTGTATGGGATGTGCCATAGTTTATGTATTCACCAGATGAAGAACATTTAGGTTATTCCAGTTTTTGGTGGTTATGAATAAATGTTGCCATAACTGCTGTAAAACATTCATAAAAAAGGTTGTTATGTGAACATGTTTTCATTTCTCTTGGGTAAATACTTAGGAGTAGAATTGCTAGGCCATATGAAAAGTATGCTTTACTTTATAAGAAACTGCCCAGGCTGAGGGTTTTGGCTCATGCCTGTAATCCCAGCACTTTGGGAGGCCAAAGTGGGTGGATCACCTGAGGTCAGGAGTTTGCGACCAGCCTGGCCATCTCTACTAAAAATACAAAAATTAGCTGAGTGTGGTGGTGGCTCATGTCTGTAATCCCAGCTAATCGGGAGGCTGAGGCAGGAGAATCCATTGAATCCAACAGGCAGAGGTTGCAGTGAACTGAGATTGTGCCACTGCACTCCAGCCTGGGTGTCAAGAGCAAAACTTCATCTCAAAAAAAAAAAAAAAAAAAGAAACTGCCCAATTGTTTTTCAAAGTCGTTGTTACCATTTTACATTTCTACCAGCAATGTATGAGAATGCTAGTTTTTTTCACAGCATTGTCAGCACTTGATATTGTCAGTTTTTTTTCTTTTATTCATTCTAATAGGTGTGTACTGGTATTTCATTGTGGTTTGAATTTGTATTTCTGTAATGACTAATGTTGTTTAAGATCTTTGAATGTTTTTATTTGCTATCGATGTCTCTTCTTTGGCCAAGTGTCTGTTCAGATCTTTTGCTTGTTTTTTAATTGGGTAGTTTGTTTTCTTATTGTTGAGTTTTGAGAGTTCTTTATGTATTTGGGACACAAGTCCTTTGTGAGATAGGTGATTTGCAAATATTTTCTCAGTGCTTATCTTCTTAATATCTTAAAAGGGTCTTTTGCAGAATGAAAGGACGTAACTTGGATGAGTCCTATTTATTATTTTTTTTCATTTATAGATATGCTTTTTGTATTGTATTTAAAAACTCTTTGCCTAATTCGAGATCACAAAATTTTC